AAAAAAAAAAAAAAGTATAATACTCAATTATAATACAAGTCACATTGAGCAGCTCTTGTAATTGCAGAAGGCAAATGCAAATGCAACTTGAGTATTACAGGTTCAATAATTTTTTTCTTTCTTAAAACATGTATACATTTTTTGGCGTCCTCTGTAGTTTAGTGATTTCTGCATTTAAAAACAGGTTCACCAAATTACTGGAAATTTGATTATCAGTTCTCATGAGCTGATCCCTGTTGACTCAGCACACTACTCCACCTATATGCTACATCTTTGCTGCTAGAAGTGTGGTCTGTTGACTAAAAACATCAACAACAGCTGGGAGATTTTTAGATATGCAGAATTTTAGTGTTTGCCCCAGACCTTCCAAATCAAAATCCACATGTTAGCAAGATCCCTGAATGCTTTGAATGCATGCTAACATTTGAGATGGTATTTCAGAGTACTATGTAGCAGTAAAAATAAAAAATTAAAAAGTGAGGGTAATTGTTACATATTATTACAGAAAAACATATTGTTGAGTTAAAAAAAAAAGCAATTTCTAGAATTTTTACAGGATGTGGACATTTAGGCAAAACTCACACGGTGAGCTAAATTTCCAGATGTTACAAAAATATATATGTGAAGGCATAGTAATGGTTTGAAAAGAAAAATGGTCACCTCTGGATAAGAAAATGGTATTGGGGTGGTGCCTGTAGCTCGTGGCTAAGGTGCCAGCCACATACACCAGAGCTAGGGGTTTGAATCCAGCCTGGGCCTGCCAAACAATGACAACTACAACCAAAAAGTAGCCAGGCATTGTGGTGGGCACCTGTAGTCCCAGCTACTTGGGAGGCTGAAGCAAGAGAATTACGTAAGCCCAAGAGTTTGAGGTTGCTGTGAGCTGTGATGCCACAGCATTCTACCCAGAGTGATAGCTTGAGGCTCTGTCTCCACACACACACACACACACACACACACACACACAAATGGTATTGGGTGTGAACTTGGGTGGGGAGGTAGGGAATGACTATAGGAAATAAAAAAAAATTCTAGGAATCATCCCTGCCCTCGGCCTTTGAGAAAATCTTTTCCACCAGCTCTTAGCTGGTGTTTACAATGCTACCAATTATTTATTCATAGTTTCGTTTCAACAAATATTAAAGTGCAAATGTCTTTGAGTTAACATAGCAATAGGTTGCATGCACTTCAGTGTGAGTTAGTGTGATGCACATGACCTTTCCAATCCATCAGTTTATGAGAGAAACTCCCTTAGTGGTAGTTTGTCACATAATTGTTATGGATGATTTGGTATACAGAAGAAAAAAGCAATGACGCAAGAAAGAGACGGGGTGTGTGTGTGTGCTCATGTGCTTGCACACTCATATCGTCCCCACCTTCTAAAACGGGTGTAGTTAGGGGCTGAATCAGATGATCTTGATTTCCCAAAGCTAAGACAGCTCTGGGTGTCTCCTTGCT